TTACAATTTTTAGTTCAAAATTTTAAAGTACGTAGTAATTTTTAGATATAAAATAAAAGCTTTGGTGGCACTTGCAAGCACTTTTTGTTTACATAAAATACATAAAAATACATTTGCACTTACTATTTTTCATCGATTTATGGCTATGTATGTATAACTCGTAAGTTTTCAATGAACTTTGATAAATTACATAGGCACCCAAACAGAAAGTTTTGAAGGCACTACGTATATTTAAATATATGTACATACTTTTCCCAACTGAATTGGAGACTGAAGTCAGAATTACACGATTGTACTATGGAAGATTTTGATACATTTTTGTGCCAAAAAGTAATTAAGACGAAATAACGGATTATTAAATAAAGTGTTTTTTATTGATTGACATATAATTTTCAACAGTTTTGCAAAAAAAAATTCTTTGACCGATGGGTTTAAAGGGGTCACATTTTAATTTGTGCATTTTATTGAAAAAGTTTGAATGCAGTTTATTTTCTAAATACTTGTATTAAAGAAAAAAAGTCCACTTAAATATAAAAATTATTTACACGGTGGCTATTTTTGTAAAATACATATCGCAGGTCTGAAGCAAAGAGACGTAAACGCAGCATTTTCCAGTTTAGGAAAAGAAGCTGAAGAGTGGGGAAAAAACCCTCAATTACCCACAAAATGCTTAAAGAATTAAAAACATATATTTCAGTAGTGACAAAGTAACATTCATATTGTTATGTTAATATACATAAATATACATATAATATTTTTTTTGAAATTCAAAGGTTCCTAGATTGCGCATTAAAGGCCTAAAATAATTTAAAAACAGCTAAAAAAAAGATATTTTCTCACAATTCGCAAAAACCGCAACATGAAATTGACGAATTCAACTCAAAACCCTTCACTTTACACGTTCTCGATCCTCTAAATGCGACTAATGCTAGATTTCCACTACGAATTAAATGGCAGAAATGACAAAATCGGGCATTAAAAAATAATCGTGTCATTACGTAAAAAAATTGTCATTAAGTTCATTTCCACATGGCATTTTTTTAAATGGCATACAGTTTTTGTCATTAAAATGCCTAGTGGAAATCCGGCAAAACATTTTAAGTAAAAGATTTTTCAAATTTAAGTTTTAAGAAAAAAAAATTGTCAAAGTTTATGTCAGAAATGTTTTTTTTTCTAAAAAAAATAAAAAAAAACTAGATATAGTTAAAAGAACGTTATTTAATTTTCTAAACTAAAATTCGCAAAACTTTTCGAAACCATTGAAAATAATGTTAGGTAATTTAACTTAGTACTTTAACATATTCAATAACCATTGAAAATAATAATGTTAGGTAATTTAACTTAGTACTTTAACATATTCAATAAATTTTTTTTACGTATATATCACTGTCACAAAATAACGCAGACCGTCGTATAAAGAGAAGAGACACGTGCTGCTTCGCCAAAATCTTCGAGTTGACTGTCAAACTTCATGACGCTGAGTAAAATCAAAAACCTTATTCCCAATTTGATTAATCATCCTGACTTCACTTCGAAAAGACCATAGTCAAATGAGCCCCAGTTTTCCCTATATTTTTCTTTATTTTCTCTATGTTTGTTAATTTCTTTTAGATAATTATTACCATAAATATGGTTCTTCGAAATCAGCTAAACATAAAATCGATTTCAATATTGCACTAATAAATATACAACGACTTTGACCACCTGCTAAGCAGTGGTTCGATGTTTTCCAAAAATAATAAGAAACACCGTTACTTGGTTTGAACTTTTCTTTATCAAATACCAATAGCAAAAAGATTATATTTGTAAGTACGAAAAACGACTTATTGACACAAAAACTGATAAAAATACCCATGGTGGTTAAAATTTATGAGATAACCTCAAAACACAAATATTCGTAAGACAGCTTTTTTTTGGGAGTTAAATATCTCATAAACTTGCACCAATTTCGCGATTCTGACTGACTTCAAATTCGGTTTCAGCGGAAAAAAGTTCATTGAAATACGTACGTACATATGTATTTTGTATGCCTGTGTTGTAGATTTCTTAAAATCTAACTCAGGAATCAAACGCGCATTTCGTAAGCGTACGCCAGCTAAAGTCACTTTAAAGTCAACTTTATTTATACTTAATCATGTAAATCCATTAACTACACTCTAGGTGAAACTCTGCTATCTTCTTCACTTATTCTCCACATCCTTGGAAACAGTCTTTAATATTTGATAACTAGGATTTGAAAATGCTTCAGCTGTTCGCGCGCCATTCGTGTTGCTTAGCTTTTTTGGGGACTTAACATTCACATAATTATCACTGCCCGTCAACTCTGTTTCGGCAATGTGATGTCGCGGTGATGGTGTGGGCGTAGCACGTGCCTGTTGTTGTAAAATATTCTTAACGAATTTTCGTCCTTGCTCGGGACTTCCCTCACCATCAGAACTATGATGTGCACCCGGCAGCATTGGTATCTCTTCCGGTTGGATAATTTCCTTCTTACGATGCTTATTCACTGGAGTATGAAGATTATTTACGAGCGTTGGTGAATGTTGTGATGATGGTGGCGATGGTGTTGGTGTTGGTGCTATTTTATCTGGGAAAGTGAAAGAAGTTGTTGTTGTTGTATTTGGTTCATCACTTGACTGGTTGTCGTCGTGATCTTTTGGACGTGTCGGTGAGAAAATGGTTGTGCCAGTTTCGATGCTCATATTTAAGTAATTATCGGATGAGGATGGCTGAATACCTGAGTGAAATCGTACATATGTGGGAAGGACAAACGCACAGACGGCACAGACGCATGTAAGCAAGAGAGGTAGTAGTGTAGGGTTAGTTGCATGAAATTGTTGATAGGTATGTACATACATACATATCGCTAGCTTAGTGCGATAAGCTGCTAAGTCCACATTTACCAATTTTACAGAAAAGGGAAAACACTTCTTTCTATAGCCGCTTTTTTTCAAGTACTTCACAAAAATTTGAATATGTAACACATTTTGCGTGTTTAATGCAAAGCAAAACTCCATTATAATCAGAAGGATTTGGTAAAATATTTGGTATTATTTTGGCAGTTGGCCTTTCATTGGATATAAACGAAAAAAATCAAACAAGTACTTTGATCCCTTTCGAAATGATGAACGATGTGTTTTTAATTTCTCTTGTTTCCTACACTGAGAAAAGAGGTTAGGTCAACTAAATATGGTTTTCTCAATACATTATTTGGTTATAGTTACATTATTTGATTATAATAAGCAAATCATGTGTTGAGAGCAATATATTTGGCTGACTTTTTTCTAAGTGTATATCAAAACATGAGTTTTCATAAAAAGTGGACTTAAGAACTTTTCATTTTAAGCTAGCGATATGTACATTATATAGCTATAAAAGCGAATATGTGCATAGTACATAGTATGTAAGTACTAGTTGGTTAGAGTACAACAACTTTAGATGTGTGCAGATCAGTTAAGTGTTGAGTAGGTGATATATTTGCAAGCATATTTGTGGAATTTTGGCAAAACAATTTATCTCGACATTG